TTGGTGGCGGCCAAGGCTTCAGGGAGAGGAACAGCTCAAGGCTTCTGTCTGCACAGCTTTGGTTTCCTTGGCTGTGAGACCCAGGGTCAGACAGAGTGACCTGCACACACAGAGGCTTCTGGTTTGCTCATGGTGTTTGTGAAATCACTTCATTCTTATAGTGGTTAAACTTGTCCCAGCCTGACTTGTACTATTTTCTTTCCTAGCCCGACATCTACCCAGGGAATTGCTGGGCATTCAAAGGCTCTCAGGGGTATCTGGTGGTGCGGTTGTCCATGAGGATCTATCCAACCACGTTCACCATGGAGCACATTCCAAAGACGCTGTCACCCGCTGGTAACATCTCCAGTGCCCCCAGAGACTTCGCAGTCTATGTGAGTGACTACTGGCATCCTGGAGGCAGCCTTCTCCTCTCCACCCTTAGAGACGTTTCATTTATCCAGAGGCATAATTTTGTAGTTAACGTCTGCTCATTGCCTGTGAAGCCCTTTCCCATTACAAAGTCCTTTATATTTTCTCTGATATAGAACCCATCATTTTAAGCATATCTAAATGACTCTTGCCCACCCCACAACAACCATCCATCTCCACAACTTCCCACACTTCCAGCTTTGCTCTAGCTTCCCTGCTGCTCTCATCCTGCTTACATCCCTTACTTGGGGCACCCAGAATCTGCACAGTTCTCATGAGGGGATCTGTGCTTTTGGGGTTCTGAGCATGATCATGGCCATCTCAAGCTGGCCCTCTGTGTGGCTGTGTGCATGTTTCCCTAATGGGAGTAACCACAGCTGTCCTTGGATGGTTGTGGGTTATAGGAAGCCAGTGAGTGTACCCCTCCAGGAGGGCCTCAGCAGGCCTCTCAGGGGAGGAGGCCTGTCACTCAGGACAGCAGGGCTAGAGTAGTGTGACTCTTGTTATCTCTGCTATAACACATTGGTCATTTCAGGGACTGGAAACAGAGTATCAGGAAGAGGGGCAGCCTCTGGGACGGTTTACCTATGACCAGGAAGGAGACTCACTCCAGATGTTCCACACACTGGTAAGCACAAGGATCCTGCCTCCCTCGTTCATGTCTTTGTGGGGCCTGGCATATGGAGAGGGTGGTGAGGATTACCCATGGCCTAGCTCTGTGCCTCAGTAAAAGGTCAGACACAGCAGCCGGCCTGTGCTGTCAACACTTGTGCCCTGAATCCCACCTACTTGCTAGGCGTATCTGGGGTATGGTTGCATCTTATTACATATCCCACAGGGGCAAGGGATTGGTCGGGGGTGGTGGGTGGGGGTCTAAGTGCTGATACAAAGTAACTTATTCCCTCAACCTCAGGAAAGGCCTGACCAAGCCTTCCAGATAGTAGAGCTCCGGGTCCTATCCAACTGGGGCCACCCTGAGTACACCTGCCTCTACCGCTTCCGAGTCCATGGAGAACCTGTCCAGTAGAGCACTCCGGCCTTGTTTGTACATGTCTGTATATACCAAGACGCCATAACACTGGAACCCTTTGGGGAAGAGAGCACATGAGCATAGGAACCTGTCACCCTTCAATAAATATGTGATGGACGTGAGGACATGTTGAGTCCTGAGGCTGTGCGTGTGTGCTCAGGGCCCAAAAGCCTGGTGGGCTCTGTGGATTCATTTGAATGTATGATTCTTAGACACTCCCTTTAATTTGGGGAATTTGCTTCAGTGGATAAAGTCAGAAAGCAGAGAAACTGGCAGGTTCCAGGCTGCCGACATGTGGAGGCCGAAAGCTTTGCACTGGCTGTCCTCTGGATGTCAGGAAGGCAGAAGTCCCATCTGCTAGACCCACACATTTCTTTCAGGGAAAACTGTTACTCCATCGTCATCTGACCCCTTCCGGGTTCCCTGGTGGGGAGAGGCTAGGTATGTCCTGGGCTGTCTGCTCTTAGCTGGGACCTACCATTCCCCAGAGGAGTGGATCAGGCTTTTGCTGAGGGCGTGACCCAAAAGGGCAGTGGGGTACATGCACTATGAATGGCACTCTCGGGTCTCAGCTGGGCTACTCCTGGTGGGATTCATTCACAGTACGGACAAGAACCTCTTGAGATGTCAACCTCGGGTGCCCTCAAGCTGTGTTAGGCTCTGCTGAAGGGGGAACACTAAAATGCCACCCTATCAGGTGGTGCTGATGACTCACTCTTGGTCTTTCCCACAGCAGCACTTTCTGCTGCTCTGGGGTTTGCCTCTGCACCATTATTGGCCCTTCTCACCTGACTCAAGTTTGGTTATAATTAATATTTAATATTAGACTATTTTGTGAGCAGACTTTATAACTGATACTTCATCTGGACACTTGAAGTGTTCAGATGTTTTACATAAAGAATTGTTAAGTTTCATTGGTTAGGCAGCCTTGGCAGAACATAAGCTCACTTGCTGGGGCTCCAAGTTGGGATTTAGTGCACATTGCAGGCAATCCTTGAGAAAGTAGCCCAAAGCAGCATATCCCACTCCATAGGGTTAGAGCTACTGTGTGGACGGGTTGGGTGATGTGCACACATTTTGCATACTGCAGGTTACACGCAGAAGCAGAATTTCCTATATGAAACTAAATTTGGGGCTTGGGGTGGAAATATTTTGAATATTTATTTTTAAAGATGCAAGATAGGACTTTGTGCAATGTATTTTTGTAAATGCTTTTCAGAACACTTGTCTTTGGTAGTGCTTACACTACCACCAAATTAAGATGCTATCGAGATGTTTAAATAAAAGAGTTATAATTTTTAAAAGTGCATGTGCTATTTCAAGTGAGTAATAAAAGTGTGTATTTCTTTTCTCAGCTTGTCTTGTCTCTGCCCATGTGGGTGGGGAGGGATTGTGTGCTCTGGAGTTCCTGCTAAGTCCTGCAGGCACTCCCACTCTCTTCCAAAGCCTCCATTCCTCTTCCTGCTTAGAGACAGTCCAGCCTAAAAGGGCGTGGGCACAAGGCCCTGGGCCTCATCTTCCAGAGCACCATGCCACCACAGCCTGCCAAATACATTTTGGAGCATTCGTCATCTGGTTTCCACCACGTGTACAGAAGTGTCACACTGATTGAAGGATCTTCAGTTCATAGGCATTGCTGTTGTTAGTTTTGTCTTTTTTCTTTTCTTTTGTTTTTTAAGGTAGGGTTTCTCTGTGTAGTCCTGGAACTCACTCTATAGACCAGACTGGCCTCAAAGTCAGAGATCCACCTGCCTCTGCCTCCTGAGTGCTGAGATTAAAGATGTACACCACCACTAGCCTGGCTGGGTTTTTTCTCTTATAGAGGACTCCTTTTATTTACCAGGGCTTTGCTCTCCTGACTTGGGTACCTGCTGTCAATTGGGATCTAAAAATATTAGAGAATTTCAGCCAGGAGTGGTGGTGGACTCCCAGCACTCAGGAGGCAGAGGGATGTGGATCACTGTGAGTTCCAAGTCCAGCCTGGTCTACATAGCAAGTTCCAGGCCAGGCAGCCAGAGCAACATAATAGTTGTTATGTTGTTATATTGTCCCTGTCTGGGGAACAATTCCAGAAAGAATTTATGACAAATGGTACCACTCCATCCCGTCCAGACAAGTCATCCCCTGGTAGCACACTCATGCTGCATGCATCACTTGTCCCTTTGTCACCTAGAAGGTGGATCATCAGGTAGACTGACCTGGCATTGGACTGCTGTGCCCAAGTGGCCCGTATGTGGTAATGCCCACTAAGCATAAATCTGTTATCACAGAAGAGTGAGCATGGATAATCAGAGATCAGGTACTCGAACTTATAATCTTACCATGCTTCCAGCATGCACAAGGGTGTGTGCATAAAATGCCAGTCTAACTGGACTGGGGTGCAGGCATAGTTCCCATGAGAGTAGGGAAGTTGAGGCAGGAGTTCAAGGGCCAACTTAAGTAACTTAGACCATATCTCAAAGTAAAATGAAGGCTGAGTGTGTGGCTCAGTTACTAAGCAAGAATGGAGGCCCTGAATTTGATCCCCAGCACTCAAGACCATATTTTTAAGGTTCTGTGTAGAATTCTGTAAGCGGAGTCTTACAGGATGCTGCCAGATGGTAACTCTGATCTTGTCCTGCATCCCCGCCCCCAAATCATGGCCAGGCATCCTGCTTCAGCCACAGCTGGGTCTGGATCTCCATCACATGTTCTAGCCTGAGCATAATGCCCAGTCCCTGATGCCACTCAAGATGACTGCACTCCCGGGCAGGTGTAAGGCACGTCAAACGTCCTAAAATGTGTCCACGTGCTTAGGGCAATTTCAGGGGCACGCGAATAGCAGCCACCTCATTGGGGCGTCCTCTGGTCCACTTTACTTGCGCGGCCCACGTGGCTGGTAACATTGTGCAGTAACTGCAACCCCCCAACACCCACACACAACCAGCGTGTAGCCTCGCCCGCATGTACAACACACACAAACACACACACACACACCAGTGTGTAGCCCCGCCCGCATGTACAACACACACACACACACCCCAGCGTGTAACCTCGCCCGCATGTACAACACACACACACACACACACACACACACAACCAGCGTGTAGCGTCGCCCGCGTGTACAACACACACATCAGCGTGTAGCCCCGCCCGCATGTACAACACACACACACACCTCAGCGTATTGCCCCGCCCGCTCTCGCTGGTAACATTGTACAGTAACCATTGTACAGTAACCGCAACACCCCAACACACACACACACACCAGCGTGTAGCCCCGCCCTCTTGTACAACACACACACAACCAGCGTGTAGCACCGCCCGCATGTACAACACACACCCCGGCGTGTAGCCCCGCCCGCTCTCGCGTGACTACTAGCACGTTCCTTCCGGGACACATGGCAGCTCGCGGACCCCACCCCCTCCTCTTATTCCCCTCCCATGCTCGCAGGGTCCTTTGCACCCGCCGGGGGCGTAGCTCGCGAGGCTCCGGCGGATCCCGCCAGCCTCCGTGGCTCCGCCCGGATCACGTGCTGGCCCGCGGCGCGCCCGCCCTCGCGAGGCTCCTCTCGGCCACCGTAGAGGGCGTGCGGGTGGCCTCAGGGACGGAAGCCGGGAGGTGCCGCCGACCGCGCCTGCGACAGCGTCAGCTCTGCGCGGAGCGCCGGCCCATGGCGGCGGCGGCGGCGGCGATGGCAGAGCAGGAGGGCGCCCGCAACGGCGCCCGCAACCGCGGTGGCGTCCAGCGCGTGGAGGGCAAGCTGCGTGCCAGCGTCGAGAAGGGCGACTACTACGAGGCGCACCAGATGTACCGGACCCTCTTCTTCAGGTGGGCGCGGGCGGTGGCTTGGCGCCGAGGCCCCGCCTCCGCTGCTGCTCATTGGCCGTGCTGCGGCGCCCCGCATTCTCATTGGCTCGCACGGCTGCCCGTCGTGGGTCGGAGCGGGGGCGGCGGGCTTGGACTACTCGGCAGGGCCTCCTCTTCCCTGCCTGGCTTCCCCCTCCTCCTCCTCCTCCTCCTCTCTCGGCCTCACCTCTCTGGGTTCCTGCCTTCCTCGCTGCGCGGCCCTCTTCCGGTCTTTCCCCTTCCCAGGCATCCTGCCCCAGCCAACTTCTGCGGCCTCCCCTTCCCCGGGCCTCTCTGCTCTCTCCTAGGCCTCCTCCTTCCTTCCAGGCCTCGCTTCCCGCCATTCCTAGCCCACCCTCTTCCTCGTCTGGCCTCCCGTTCCCTGGAGCCTCCCGCTGGTCGTCAGCTCCTGTTCTCAGAGTAGTTTCTCCTGGTCCTCCTCTCAGTGGCCGGTGACCGGAGTGGCACCGCCGGCTTAAGTGTGTTCAGGGGCACACGATGGGCCTGCCCGTGGCCGTCGGCAGCCTTGGTTCCAGGTTCCTGCCTGTGAGCATCTGCCTGCCATCTGATAATCCCCTCTTCGGCCTTCATTCCTCACTGCAGGAGAGCGGCATTCCGGCTCCATGTCCGGGGTGTGGGGTTAGCCTCTGCGCCCCTCAGACCGACTTTTTGTTTTAGTCGCCTTTGTTTGCTTTAGGGCAGTTTTCGGTCTGCAGTAAAATGAGTGGAAAGTGGTTGTATTGTGTCTGCATAGAGGTACAATGCCGGTAACACCTTTTCAGCCATCCATCACTGTCAACGAAGGGTCCCTGTGCACTGTGGGACGCCTCCCACAATCACCCCCTCCAGCTTGCTCCTGGCGTGGTGCGTCCTACGGACTGGGTGAAGCTGCCGTGACAGTGGGTGACACCTTACACAGTGGCCTCACTGCCTTGAAGCCCTGTACATTAGTGCTCACCCTTGTTTACATTTGAGGACAATTTCCACTTCCTCCCCACGTGCCCAGAGTGAGCCTGACAAATAGCCAGGAGGACATAGTAGGAAAGGACATGTGGCCAAGGCCACATGTGGGAGCTGCCAAGCCATCAGAGACCAGCCCTGCAGGATTTTCCCTCCATGACACTGCTCTGTCCAGGGCCTTGGCAGGTGTGGGGTGAGCCCTGGCATCCTTGCTTCCAAAGACTTCCCATTTGCTTTATCTGTGGAGTGGCCTGGATTAGGAGCAGGGGGTTAGTCACTGACTAGCAGCTTAACGAAGACATTAGTCCTCACTACTCGAATTTCACGTTACCTAAAGGGCAGCCTTGTTGGGGAGTTTTCTGTGTACTAAACCAGACACGAGAAATGCAAACCAGTCTGGCTACATCTGGTTCCGGCACATTGTCCTGAGTGTCTTTAACAAAAAACAAACTAATTATATTGGGAAGGCACTTGCTTTATTTTTTAGTTAAAAATCTGTAACCGGTCATGGTGCCCATGCTTTTAGTCACAACACTGATAGGCAGAGGTAGATGAGTCTCTCTCGAGTTCTAGGCCAGCCTGGCCTGCAAAGTGAGTTCGAGAGCAGCCAAGGCCGTTATACAGAGAAACCCTGTCTCAAACAACAACAACGAAGTTATTAAGTTCTACATGTACAAGTGACAAGTGATTGATAAGTAACTGGTTTTAGTTTTTAATATTTTTGTGATACTGGGATGGAACCCAGGATACCTCACAAGCGAGGCAAGGACTCTACCTTTGAGATACACTACAGCCCTTTTTTAAACTTAGAATTTTGAGTGAGTATGCCTTCAACTCTGTAGCCCAGGCAGGCCTAGAATTCTTGATCCTCCATGCTCAGCTTCCTAAGTGTCTCGGACGACAGGCCTATGTCATCAAGCCAACTGAATGGTTAGTTTTTCCTATGTTGATGGTTCACGGGCAGGGGCAGCCATCTGGCCCAAGCAGTTGTTGAATGAACAAACAAAGGAAAAAACACAGCTTTGGATTGCAAGGGTTCCTCATGTAGCAGGCCAATCACTGTCTATACTTCTGCAACAATGGGGGGACACCCTGGTGTCTTACCTTTTTTTTTTTGTTTGGTTTTGGTTTTTGGTTTTTCAGGACAGGCTTTCTCTGTGTAGCCCTGGCTCTCCAGGAACTCGCACGTACATCAGGATTTCCTCGAACTCAGAACTCTGCTTCCAAAGTTCTAGGTGGGATTAAGGGCATGTACTATGAACCTAGAGAGATGGCTCAGTGGTTTAGAGTGCTGGCTGTTCTTCCAGAGGACCTGGGTTTGATTCTCAGCACCACGTGAGTGCTCACAAGTGTCTGTAACTCCAGTTACAGGGGATCCAACTCCCTCACACAGACATACATGTAGGCAAGACATCAATGTACATAAAATAAACAGGTAAATTTTTTAAGGGTGTATGCCACCACCACCAGTACCATTTTTTGATTCATCAACAAAAGTGGATCTCCCAGAATAAACATGTTCTTGTTTTGAACCAACCCTTCTGTGACTGAGGACATTCAATTAATTTAGTCTTATGTGACCAGAAGAGTTCCCTTGGTCAAGGTGAACTAGGGATGATGACGGACAAGTTCTGCCTCTTCATTGTTTGAGGTCACATGTTATCAGCATACAGGGAACCCGCCAACAGTGTGCTCCAGGGACACAGCATTCTACTGTGGCCCAGTACTTGTTACCGAGCTTAATGGACTTCAGCTTCCCTGAACTACTTGAGAATGAGGGAAACTGAGTCACCACTGCTGCCCTGGGGACTCGGGTTCCTGTGGAGTTCCACATAGGCTAAGGGTCATTCCGTGGGGTAGGACTACTAGAGATATCATAATGCTCAAAGGCACTGGTTTTTAAATCTGTGTGTCGTTGCATACACGTTAACATCAGGACAACTTTCAGGAGTCTATTCTCCCCTTGAGGGTCCTGGGGATTGAACTCAGCTAATCCTGCTGAGCTGAGTCATCTCACCTGGTTTTTCAGCTTCTTTGAATAAGTGGTGTTTACATATTTAAAGTGAGTATTTATACTACACAGAGAAACCCTGTCTCAAAAAAATAAAAACAAAGTGAGTATTTGCATAAATCTTTTACTTTGGAAGATGGTGATGCTGAAGATGTTCATGGTCATGACCCCCCCCCCCCCATTCCCTCTCTTAAGCTAGTATTCCCAGGCAACTTGTCTGTTATTCAGCACAGTTCTTTTTACTTGGTTTTGGGTTCTGTACAGTGGTCAAGGGGCTCTCCATCTATGTGGCTTTCTAGTTCACTCAACAAAGTGTTCTGAGTCTGATCCACATTTATAGCATGTTATGTCCAATGAATGTGTCACAACCCATTATAACCTCACCACTCATATCCCGTGTGGGAGAGGAGGAGCTAGGTAGTCCACAGAGATTGGGCCTTGGTGACCTGAGAGCCCCCTGACATAACTAACCATGGTCCTGTTGTGGCAGACCACCTTGTCTTGTCTCTTGAGATGTCTCCCCGGAGGACGGATGAGTTTTGCAGGCCTGGTTGTTGGTATCTCAGCAAGTTAGGAGCTGTTTGGCTTTCCTGCGACAGCACCACCATGCTGTCCTCCAGGGCCCCGGTGTTGGTTGCTTTGTGTGGGTGAGGAGCCTTTCTAGTTTCAGCCTACCCAGTCCTCCACTACTTTTCACTTCTGTCCTACAAAGTGGTAGTGTGACACTGTTCCTGGGGAGACCTGAACGTCACAGACAGGAAATCACAGACAGTACAGATACCACCAAAGTCCAACTTGGGGAGCCAGCATTGGGTTACTTTCATGAATATGGGTGAGGGTTACTTACAGGAGCAGAAATGATTCAAAGACCGCTGCATCACCAAAGTCCACCCCAGCGTGGGTGACGGTTGACAAAAGGAGACCTGGAGTGCAGTGCACAGCCTGTAGCCAGCTCAACAGGTTGGAGAATTCCCTTTCCAGGTCAGTTGGTCTGAACCTGTTGCTTTCAAGCCGCTGGGCTTGTCCATGAGTTTCTGCACTCCTTGCAGCTTTAACGCTTGGGCCTAGTGAAGCTGGTGGAGCTCGGTCTTCCTGAAGCTATGGAGTTGTTTTGTTCCTGAGTTGGAAAAGCTCCCGGCAGGTTGGAAAGTTTCACCTCCCTTGGATCATCCCAGTGTGTCCCCTGCTTTTGACGTCCTGTGTGTTAAAAGAAACCCTACAGTGTGTGTTAAGCACACCATAGCCTTCTGAGGCCACTAAGTTATGGTTAAAGTGTCCATTGTCCTTGGATCCGTGTGCTGGATGAGCATGTTAGACCAGCGCCTCCCTCCCCCCTTGTGATGTATGCATGTGCATTTGTGTGCTTGTATATCTGGAGGCCAGAGGTTGACCTTGGGTTACCTCATCAGTTGCTTTCAACCGTTTTTTGGGTTTTTGGGTTTTTTGGAGGCAGATTCTGTCATAGAACCTAGCGCTCACTACTGCCGCTGGGCTGACAGGCCAGCAACCCCAGCACTGGGGTCAAGTACACAGAGCCACACCAGGTTTTTGTTTTGTTTTCCTTGTTTTGTCTTTTGCCTTTTTTTTTTTTTTTTAAATAAATGTATTTATTTTGTGGATGGGTATTTTGTCTGCATGAATGTCTGTGTGCCATGTGTGTGCTGGGTGCCTACAGAGACCAGAAGAGGGCACCAGACCTGGAGTTACAGGTGGCTGTAAGCTGACATTTGGTGCTGGTGATCGAACCCAGGTCCTCTGGAAGATCAACTTCCAAGCCATTTTTCCAGCCCCCATATACAGGTGTTATGTGGGGGCTGGAGATGTGAACTCAGGTCAGCACACTTGCTTAGCATGCAGTTAGCCACTGAACCATTTCCCTAGCCTGTGGACCATCTTCTGTCCAGCTCTGATTTTCTCTCTTTAGCCAACACTACATGAATCCTGTAGTCCAGGCTAGTCTCAAATTCTGTATGTAACCAAAGATGATCTTCTGCTCTTCCTGCCTCTGCCC